GGGACAGGCTGAAAAAAATTCTCAATTCATGGAGATAATTTTTATGGTTAAACTGGTAATTGTTCTGCAGAGAAAACCCACGAGCTCAGCAATACAGTACCTGTACTGTATGTAACTTGTGCACCCAACAGAATTGTACTCAAAGTACAATACGTACAGTATACTGTACTATACAATATCTATGGCACCGATGAGCACAGGGCACGAGGGATACTGCGTATGTGTTAAAAAACCTAAACCAATTGTAAAAGTTGATGACAAATTTAATAAGTGAATGAGCAGATTAATATTTTTTTTTTCTAAATAAGACACTGTCCATATCCACAATATAACAAACTTATGTATAGTATTTAGATGACATTCAACTACATACCATGTAAGAGTTTTTAACTATAATTTTATTCTGTATACTTTACTAAACTCTTTATAAATAATACAAAAGATAAAATTGGGGAGAAAAATACTTAATAAAACAACATAAGCTAAACCAAAGTTGTTTGCAAAGTGAAAGGTCTGAATAATTTGACTTTGCAGATAAAGATTATAAAACTAAATTAACAACTACACATACAATAACTATACAAATAAGTGATGTAAGTGTCTTATACAGTACAGTATACAATTCTGTTTCAACCATCTGCTCCAATCCTGCTCTAAGCAGCTGACAACTAAGTCCTTGTTACCTAGTTCAAGATAAGGCCAGGCCAAGGTGCAAATATTACAAGGGAAATTACAAAGGGATGAAGGAAGAGATGAGGGCTATCCACTGGCCTGACTCATTAAGGCAATATGTTGGTGACACTACGCTGAATATCATAACTATAAAGTGGACCCTATTTTAACGATAAATATATACCCAACACCAAACCCAGTGCCTCTAGGAAGGATGAGGGATCCTCACACATGAACCATGTGATGGCTTTGACGTTAAGAAGAAAATCCAGAAATTCAAGACGCTGGGGTTGATCAACCAGATGACAAAGACAGGGATGTGTGAAAAGCAAGAAGCTACAAAGATAGAGTGTAGAAGGGCTGTATGAGTTCCAGAGGGTAGTTGCAAGCGAGGGAAGTCAAGTCAAATAAAAGGCGTTTTATCGCGCAAAGCCTGAAATAAAAAAACGCGAGAAGGAGTATCAGACCTGAGTGTTTTGGAACATGGTAAGTTACGCAGATTATGGACCAGGATAAAAGCTTGGGAGGCATTAAACAGCTTTTTTCCTCGGTGCTCACAAGAGAGGATGCGGATAACCTTCCTGTGTTTGAGGACAAGACGGTTGCAATATATACCGATTCAATAATTGTGCTCCATTATGAAAGAGGGTATTAGAAAATAAATCGTTTAAAGGCTCAATAAGAGTCCCAGCCATGACATGGTGCATCCTAGAATGGTAGAGAGTTGTGCAAACGAGCTTTAGAGCCCTGAAGATCCTGTTTTGTAAATGGATGCACCAAAAGGACCGCAGTAGAATGGAAAGTGGCTTATGTGAGTCGTATCTTCAAGAAGGTCGATCGTCATCATGAACAACTATAGACCGTGAGCC